TAAAGAAAGCAACAGAATACCAATCAAGAAGGATGTAAGGCAGGGGGACACAATCTCCCCAATGCTATTTACCGCGTGCTTACAGGAGGTTTTCAGAAGCCTAGAATGGGAACAGTTTGGGATAAGAGTTAATGGAAAATACCTTAGTAACTTGCGCTTCGCCGATGACATTGCATTGCTGAGTAACTCGGGGGACGAATTGCAACTCATGATTACGGAGTTAGACAAGGAGAGCAGAAAGGTGGGTCTTAAAATTAATCTGCAAAAAATGAAAGTAATGTACAACAACCTCAGAAAGGAGCAGCGCTTCGAGATAGGTAATAGTGCACTTGAAGTTGTATAAGACTATGTCTACTTAGGGCAGGTAATAACCGCAGAGCCGAACCACGAGATTGAAGTAACTAGAAGAATAAGAATGGGGTGGAGCACATTCGACAAGCACTCTCAAATTATGACAGGTAGATTGTCACTATCCCTCAAGAGGAAGGTATATAACAGCTGTATCTTGCCGGTACTTAGCTACGGAGCAGAAACCTGGAGACTTACAAAGAGGGTTCAGCTTAAATTGAGGACGACGCAGCGAGCAATGGAAAGAAAAATGGTAGGTGTAACTTAAGAGACAAGAAGAGAGCAGAGTGGATTAGGGGACAAACGGGGGTTAAGGATATCATAGTTGAAATAAAGAAGAGGAAATGGACATGGGCCGGGCATGTAGCGCGTAGACAGGATAACCGCTGGTCATTGTTACTAACTGGATTCCCAGAGAAGGGAAGCGGGTTAGGGGGAGACAGAAGGTTAGGTGGGCAGATGAGATTAAGAAGTTTGCGGGTATAAATTGGCAGCAGCAAGCACAGGACCGGGTTAACTGGCGGAACATGGGAGAGGCCTTTGTCCTGCAGTGGACGTAGTGAGGCTGATGATGATGATGATGATGATGATGAACGTGAACTAACCAAGCGTTTTCGCCTCCACCGAAATTACAGCTGCCGCCCGCAACCCTTCATTGGGAGATAATTGTTTACGGACAGCCTGTTGGAACTAAGACAATTCGGAAACATATATGCATAAAATTACAGGAACAAAAATCCAAATAGCTTGGCTTTGATTTTAGCTGAAGAATCAGTCACCGTGGTGGTAGTGGTTGTGCTGCTCGACTGCTAATCCAAAGGTTGCACGTTCGATCTCGGTCACGGTCTTCGAATTTCTATGGAAGCCAAATGCTATAGACGTTCATGTACGTCGAAGAATCCTAGGTTGTCGAATTTCTGGATTCCCCCTCTACAGCGTACGTCATAGTCATATCCCCCTCCTCCTGTATACGCACACCTACGGTAATAACGGCCTGTGCATTCCGTTCTGCGTGCACCGAGGGACAAAATGAAATACGTTTATTGACCTGAAAGTTACTTACAGATTACAGATACTCGCATATCGCTCACTACGTCCTGTCCAGCATATAAACGTGAAGCATTAATTTATTACCCCGAGTGATCAAAGGTGACGTTTTAGAGGCACCATTCCACCAATTGATCGCAACATAAGAAGGACCACAACATACGACGAGACTCTTTTTCTTCTAAGAAATTGGGACTCTACATCGATTGCCGCTACCAACTGAAGTGACCGAGTATGTACGCCTTTACCTGAGCGCTTGATAGCAATCTACGTGGAAAAGTCGCGTCCGGTCATCAGTCGTAAATCACGTTCGGTAGCGGAGGCAATCGCCCGCCGTGACCGATATACTCATATACGAGGCGAGAAACATGCGAAAACGACGCTAGGAGGAAGGGCTTTCCTGTACGCCAACTTGGTCGCCTCGCTCACGCGTTTATCAGATTAAAAAAAAAATCCCTCCAGCTAAAAAGCTTTGATTAAGATTCAAAGCCAAGTGTTCTTAACTTGTGCATCTTAGGAAGCACTATTTTTGTTCAAGTTACTGAACCACCATGAAGAAAATTTTTAACACAAAAATGTACTTACCTTTCTCACTCTTCTTTTCTTGAAGCGCCGACGGCGACACGAGCCGCTTCGCTCTGCCGGTCGTCAGGGAAACATTTGGAGGCTAGGCAAAAAAAGCAAGGCGGTGGAGGAGGGAATCGATGACTTGCCAGGCGCCACTTGCGTTCCTTCTCTCGCAAACACGGCACCGCCGCAGCGATAACAATCACGCGCTCTTGTTGTCATAACTCGCGATCGACCCCGCGCGTGACAGTGGGCTGCAGGTCCGTGAGACATGTATACACGGCCGCTACCGCACGCCATGGTACCGCATCGTATACATACTTGCCATTTGGCGAGTCACCATCACCTCTGTCATTGCTTCGACCCCGGACTTGGTGTTTCATTCTGCGCGTGGCGTGGAGGCGGCTAGTGAAACAAGGCGTTCGCGTAGCAATGAAAGTCGATTTTAAATATCACACGAAGACGATGCCGAGTGACTGCAGGCACGAGTCTTAAGATTCGACATCCTGCTTAAGCGCTGCTTTTCAATTTATGCGTATCTTCAACACAAACAAACACACGAACGCGCAATGTTCCTGAATTAACTCGGCCACCTAAGAGCACTTATACCTAAATGTATTGTCATTAGGAGCGTACATTATAATCACTGAGATTTCACGTCTCAAAACCACGCTATAGTTATGAGAAGGCGTAATAATAGATTCCAGAAGTTTCGACGACCTGTGCTTCTTTTTTTTTTCATCCATATAAATCTAAGCACACGCCCCTCTAGTACTTTGCCTCCATGTAAATGCAGCCGCCGCGGTCAGGATTCGATCCCGCAACCTTCGGTCAAGCAGTGAAGCACCATAAGCAATAAACCACAGTGGCGTGTTCACTTTCTTTGGTGTCTCAAAGTGTGGAAAAAAATGAATGTGCATGATTGCAGTAAAGCGTAATCGGAGTAGAAGTGTACGAGCTGTGTATGAGTAAGGTGTAGACTGTAAATAGTTTAACCATAGACCGGGAGTTATGCAACTGTAACACGGTGTGGTCAGCCACGTTGGTTCAAAAACTAGAAGTGAAAACTGAAATTGCGCAACTGTAAGTCACGTGACGAACCTGATGCGTCGCAAAGGGTGCGCGCATCATATGGTACGACACAGAAGTGAGATGTGACGAATGGTGAGTGACAGAAATTCGAAGTAGTGAAACAGACGTTTTGAATGTATAGCAAAGGTGAAAAAGTGCCCCGACGTAACTCTAGCACATTTTTATCGCACTTGACACCAAATCGTTGCTGAATTCTTGTTTGAACGTACCCACGGCAGTGCTAGCATAAAAAGTAACACTTTTTTTTTATTACAGAATAAGTACAGCTACCAATTATCCCCATTACTTCTGCCATCGCATCGGCAGAGAAAAGAAAACGGCGTTGAGCAGCAACCCACAAAAATTAGAAGAGACAACACAAGAAACATATTGTCTGCTTTTGCGTTAAACTATATGAAATAAAGCTTGTGATACATTGAAAAAAAAAAGCAGCCAGTGGTCATTATTTGGCTACTATAGTCCCTATAGGCGTGCTCGGGAAGGGGGAGTGGGGGGGGGGGGCAAAAAAATTTGCTCCACACATTCGCCTAGTAGAGAGGGCACTGCGACCAATCTTTGCACCCCCCCCCCCCCCCCCAAGGGAAACCCTGCGCATGCTTGTTATTAAACTTACGGCATCATCCATACACTGAAGGGTCGGTTTTCTGTAAAGCGTGCATTGCCACATTATTGTGTAACGTGCAAAAAAGCCAACTTTAGGCATCCAACGTGCGTTGTTTTGTTTGATACCTTTGCTGGCTTATTGAGGCGAGAGCCTTATATCATTCATCAGGCCGAACGTTAGGCGTCTGGGATCACTGGACACTCAGTCACGCGATCACGTTAACAAGGGCGACACCAATCACGTAACTCCGACGTAGTTAGGGGCGGCGTCAAGATTCGTCCATTGCGACAGGAACGCGGCTGAGTCATGCATTCTGTTCTAATTATGTTTGCCCTTGAGGGGGGGCGTGGCATAGAGGTGGCACACAACAATTCTAGGAAGGCTACAGCACCCCCCCCCCCTCCACTCCCTGTGTTCCTCCGCCATCGCCACCCCTGGACGTAGTGTACGTCATGGGAAATTTTTCCGGAGGTGGCAATGCCAGCGTGTGTACTATATAGAGAGAATTTGCGACTATTCAGGCGGACGTTAGCAGGCTCCCGATTGGGTGATGGCATAAAGGAAAGCGGTCTAAGGAGGACGATGTAGTCGAGCTGGGTGGTTCGTGTCTATTGGACACAAACATCGGCCTCACGTCTGTGTTATTCGCCACAGACAGAGCAAAATATGTGTGTGTCAATATCTTTAACTCATCGCTTCCACCTTCAAGCCTTCTTAACGAGTGTAAAATACCCCAGCAGATTGCTTAGAAACATGGGCATGTGACGCAATCATGTCATCCTCGCATGCGAAACAGTGCCTGATCCCAACCATGTCCAAGCATTTTCAGCATTAAACTGAAGTGGTAGAGCAGACTATTAGGATTGGTAGATTACCTCTTTGAGAACAAGTAATTTCTCTGAGTATTTTTTGACAGAAGATGATTGCTTAGTGTAATAAAATAAAAAAATAACGAAAACCGAGGGTCAAGATATCTTTAACCTTCCCATTCGAACCACATGCCGTATGTACCTAGTCATGTGATGTCATCATAGATTTCGCAGCATGTAATTATCTGCTATTCAATCGCGCAATAATATACACCCTACAACGTGTATATGTATGTCTACTTTATTTCTTTTCTAATATATGAAAACCTTAATTTTTGTCAATGCCACTACCAAGGGCAAGCTTCATCAGATATTCCTGGATGCGTATTGTCCCAGAGGACGCTGCAAAGATGTTTGCATCGTCGTCGAATAAAAAGCCTCCGATTTCGTTGAAAAGGCGACAATCGCGATTCCAAAGGCACAGATGGCATAACATTTCTCGACAGAGTCCCCTTTGAGCGTTTCAACAGTAGTGGGATCGTCTTCACAGAGAAAGTTCGGGACGAGCTGATGCCAGTGTAGGTGTCCATAGGGGCGCTAGAGCGTCCGCAGGCCCGTGGTCTTCTGTATCCACTTGAGCAGGACGCCGACGCGGGTGAAGACGGCCGGGACGCCCTCCTGAGCGCAGCCTCCCGCCATGCCAGAGCCGGCGATGGCGGCCACGTAGTAGCGGCCCGCGTAGAACTGCATCAGGGGGCCACCGGCGTCGCCCTGCATGCACCGGCGTCAGTGGCTGCCGGGAAAGTTCTTGCGGCATATTTCAAGTTAAGTAGCACGGAAAGGCTGCGACAAAGCACTTACACGTGAATGACCAGTGCTGGAAGACGCCGGTGGTCGCTGGTCAACACCGTCATCTACGCAGGGTATAAGGACGCATGCAGCTGGCGATGCGCGTTCCGAGTGCACGAATGACATTTTTGATTGTGTTATAAATTAGCCTTATAGGTAAATAGTGCCCCTTTGTCTCCCACTCCACAGGCCCCAATCGAAAAAGAAAAAAAGAAGAACAGTGCCAGGCCTACGCGGTGCAGTAACAACCAGAAGTCGCCTTTATGGACTCCGTTGTAAAATTTCGCCACTTTTATAAGTGCAGTTGTGATGTACTCCATGCATGCGCCGTAATTTATGTTCATTTCGCAATGTGGCAATGTACCCACTGCGTATATGCAAGACAAGGTGCGCGCATGTGCAGCTGCACACTTCATTGATGTCGTCCATGGCTGGTTATGATGATCAATTATGGCTGAGCCCTTCGTAAGAAGCGGGTATAGCTTTAAACCACCCACGCGTTACACAGTTCCCATCGTGTGACGCCGGGTGCGACATTACTATTCCACCACGCAATACTGCGTCTGATAACGTGATTCTTCACCCGATATGACATGACACCTACCTTTCCGGAAGCGGTTTCGAGCGCAGGCGTGACTCTGTGGTAGAATATCCGATTGTCACACAGAATGCCTGTGTTCCCGTTCAAACCCCGAAATTTTTAAAAAATAATTTGGCACGATATCTTCGACCGACACCGGCAGTGGCTGAAGCCAACTACGGTACCTTACGCTGTGAAATAGTTAATCACGAAAAGCAGGCTCACATCGCAGATGTCTCTTCCTTTGGCGCCGGCGCAGATGAGCCCTTGCACCGAACTTCCGTTGTAGCGCTGGCTGCACTCCTCGCTTCGCACCACGTTTACGTACACTTCGTTGGGAGTCGAGCTCAGTGGGCCGTCTGCAAGGCACAGCAGGCAGTGAGTGAGTGACACTGCAATCCTATCGTGCACATGCAGATCTGTACATCTGCACGTATAGTAAACAAAGAAGCTAACTTTGAACCTATACCTAAACATGTATACAACTACAGCTCAGATTATTAGTGAGACCTAACAGACATTTATGCCATCAAAGGTATAGTGGAGGTTATTAGAAGTAATTGTAATTAAATGTGACGAAAGAAAAGCAGACGAAAATATAACGTGCCGTGGGTAGAGACTAAACCTGCGAACTTCGAATAACGCGTCCGATGCTCCACCAACTGAGCTACCACGGCGGCTATCCCCTTTATGGGGTATGTTAACGTGGGAGCGTCAGTAAGCGCCTCCAGTAGCCATGACGGCGAGTGTGGACTCGCATAAACGGATACTTAAATGTACACTTCTTTCCTTCATCCATTTACGAGGGTCTCGTTCTGGCAAACTTGGTGCCTTCATGTAGTACACGAGGGATTATTGGTCAGCTGCCAGCTCGTAGTAAGTGCACGTGCTATGTGACGTCAAACAAACCGATAGAGAGTGTTCTAGACTCGCCGTGATGGCTACTAGCAGTGCTGACTGATGCTCCAACGTTCAATCCACATTCATACACAGCAACAACTTTTACACCCTTAAGGGTGTATTTCTGTCTCATAGGCAATACTCTTTTAGTGTTTAGAAACACCCTAAAAACGTAAGGTATAAGGAGACGCTACACCCTACTTTTATAGGTGTTTATGAACACCCCTAAACTATGAGTGCAAGGTCAAGCTACACCTGTGCGAGGGGTGTGCAACACATAAAAACACCCTTGAAACAATGGTAGTTACATGTATAAACATACTTGATCAGATGAAGCGCAATTAACGGGACAGCAAAGGGAGAGACACACAGGAGAAAACGATTTTTCCTGTGTGTCACCACTGTTCTATATAACAGTAGTGGATTGGACCAGTTGGAGATGCATATTTGATGGAATGGATCGACTGCCATGAAAGGGACAACAAAAGAGAAGACACACAGGATGAATCGTTTCAAAGAGGAAACTCACAGGACGAATCATATCCTCCTGTGTGTTTCTCCATTCGTTGTCCCGTTAATTGCGCTTCATTTGATCAAGCATGCTTATACATGTAACTTCCATCGTTTCAAGGGTGTTTTTATGTGTTGCACCCCACTCGCAGGGTTGTAACTTGATGTAACACTCATAGCTTAGGGGTGTTCATAAAGAGGCATAAAAGTAGGAAGTAATGCCTCCTTACAACCTATGTTTTAGGGTGTTTTTAACATACTAACAGGGTGTTGCCTTTAGGACAAAAATATACTCTTAAGGGTGTCAAATTTTTGCAGTGTACCCCATAAATTGCACGGAGGGATAGCCGCCGTGGTAGCTATAAGTTGGCATCATCGGACAACTTATTCGAAGGCCGCAGGTTCCCGCAGCAAGTCACCTTTTTGTCCCCTTTTCTTTCTTCACATTTAATTAGCATTACTTCTAATAACCTCCCCTACACTTTCCTTGGCATGATTGTCTGTTAGAGCTCATTAACATTGTATCTAACAAAGAAAACAAGTCCTCAAACGCACACTTCTTTCCGACAGCTCACATAGCTACATGTCGACTCACTCGCGATGCCTTCAAACACGCTTGAACACACTCGGCCAAAAACACGTTCTGCTCACAAGTGTGCACCCGTCCCCATCCGGCCTACGAGAGTCTTGGTTCCGGGCATGTACCGGTCCGTCGTCTGGGGCAGGCAGATGGGGCGCACGTGGTCGGCACCTCCGTCGTCGGACGTCATGCCCATGAGCTGAAGCAGTGCCGCGTCGTAGTACGGGTGCTTGTAACTCGGATGTACCTGCACACGACTCACGTTGTGCGCCACGCTGTGCTGCTGCGGCCGGCTCAGGTCGTGCACGCCTAAGAGAACCTGCAGGCGCTCCGGGTGCATCAACGCCCTGAAACGTGACCACGTGTGCACAGTCTGGATTGTGGAGAAACTTTCAAAAATCTTGTCAAATAAAGTTTTTGTAGTGATGTGGCAACAACACGAAACTGTCTATGGGTGCATCAACGCCCTGAAACATGACCACGTATGCGAAATCTGCAGCGTGGAGAAACTTTCGAAAGTCTTATCTAATAAGGTTTTTTAAGTGATGTGGCAACAACGCGAAACTGTCTATAAGTACAGTAAGACTTGTTGCTCGGCGAATAGTTTGTATAATCTAACACATACATCGTAGCCAGACTATTTTTCGAACGGGATGGGGCGCTCATCGAACTTTTAACTGTGTTCTTGCATGTGTTTGTTTGCGTGGTTGCACATATAGGCATGCAAATATTCCAAATGTCGGAGGTGAGGGAAGGTGGGGTTTCGACACCCCAATTACTCCCCTAGTTACGTCAAAGGTTTCAATGCTAAACCGAGAAGCATCCACAGAAGAATGAGGAACACGGGCGTTTTAATATTTTTGGCAACAAAACGACAGCCCAGTGAGTGACGAAACAACAAATTGGCTTTGGTGGCAGGCGTAATTTGTATCGCCTTAATTGTAACCATGTATCTTTTCTATTTACCCCTGATATCCATCACTCTCTAGGAGTATTTTTGGAAGAAATATACTTTCTTAGTGCGCAGGGAAAATTTCAGAAAGAAGAGAGAAAAGACAATTTTCTGAACTACATCTCTAGGAGTATGCGGCAGCTCAGGGACGAAGCTCAGGGACTCACAACTTCTTTTTTCACTCTGGTTCTTTAACAGAATTGGAAAATAGGATAATCCTCCGTAAAGAGTACTTCGTTCTCAACTGCAGTTGGACATAGTTTCATAGTCATATCGACCGGATGGTGTGCTGTCAAAACTTTTCTAATATCCGTTGTGTCATGATATCGCACAAGCTTCTAAACTTTCAAATGTTATGCATGAATCTAATCTTGAAAACCCCTCTTTCTCTACGAACGCCTAGAACTGCACTCTCAAAGAGTTAGCGGACGAAACTGAATACAGCGACGCATAAATGTACCGAGAACGACAACAAGACTTCTTCGATTCGCACTGTCCACATTCGTGTGAGCGTGCATGTGAACTTCTGTACATACTGTTGCGAAAAAATTAACCTTGCATACGCCTAACGTAAAACCAAAACAAAACAAAAACACCGACGATTACAATACTGCTTAATGCGAATACAGCCTCGTCTTGGGTAAACGCCGGCTGTGTTTGACGTTCTGGTTTTACACAGTCGTATCAATATAACATTTGTTACGTATTGCCCCTACATATTACATATAGTCTATGGACAAGGTGCCAGCGCGCGTGACGTACGAAGAAAACGAGGTTAGAGGCCAGTAGCTCTTGATAATGACAGACTGCTTCGCGTTCGCTTTCTTTCGTCCTCGTTCGCTCTATCGGTTACACCAACGTCACCCCACAACGTCGACGTCGTTGCACGCAGAAACGGGTGCCCAAGAACTGCGCTATAAAAAAGACAATGCATTCTAGAGTGATGGAATCGTGGTCATACGCATATAGCTCGTTAGCCCACGTGCACTTACTCATTTCCAATGACTCCTGCTGCCGTCAGCACGAAGCCGTTGCCGATGTAGGCCGCAGACCCAGACAGGTTGCCGCGAAACATGACAGCAGCCTGCGAGGAGGTGACGTCATTCGTGGACACTCGCTCTCTGTACTCGCTTTATCTCGTTTCTTGCAGCGACCGCCGCACAGGTATCCCGCTCCACACTATTATAAATATATGTAGCTAGCCGTCCACGCACAGATGACGCAAACAGAAGAAGGGGGTGGGGGTGATTTTCGAATGAGAGAAAAGAAGATAAAATTGATCCCCGTAACTGCCTGCATCAGAGTGCGACACCTCAACAGTGGTTCACGAGGCAGGGGGATAAGGAGGGATTAAAAGGAATAGGGATGAGAACGCCCACATACAGAAGTAAAGGAATCATGGAGAAAGATGGGGACACGGTCGAAGGAGTCCGAGGACGGGGCACCACTCGGCGAGAGCTCTTGTCGGCGTCAGGAGATGGCGGAGGGCGGGCCGGTCGGCCATGAAGCTGCGCTGTCGTCGGAGTTCGCGGTCGCACAACCGTTCGGCACGGAATCCAGAGAGCGAGTGACTAAAATGATTCAATTGAAATGGTATAGAATACAGTGGTGTTGTCTATGTAAAACAAAAGTGTGAAGGACGCCTACGTATATGTGGTCACTCACGGGGGGGAGTTGACACTTACCAACCATGGAAATTTGTGAGCAAACACTTGAGACCCTCCGACGATGCGGCCATGGCCGTAGCGACCGGCCACCCCGCAAGCTTTGGGAAAAGCAAAATAAATAAATAAATAAATAAATAAATAAATAAATAAATGTGTTAGAAATAAAACATAGGTGGTACATTATATAGTATAGTAAGAGTCATGCAATTCTCAGTACTAAAGGACTCTGGAATAGTGCAGCAAAGCTCCATTTGTATAGTAATAACTTATTTAGGTAGTTATTGTTGTGGAACTTCGTAATTCTTAAGCTATACTATGGCGAAAGTACGTCGACAATTTAAAAATACACAACTCGGCGCATAAAAGTGATATCTCGGCTAAGGCTAAGGAAGGGAACAAAGAGTATCAACACGCAATTTCGGTGGAATCGAGATTAAGGTGGTTAAGTCGTGATTTTATAGAATACGCGTAGCCAGCTATCTTCCACATTTCAACTCACAGTTGAGGTTGGGCTTCCTGAGCGGTCTGATGGCGTTGTCCAGCTCCAGAGTTCGGGTGTCGTCAGCTTGGCTGCACAGCCTTCCCTTGGTCACATTCCGGATGAACTGCGTGTATCTGCTCCGATTCACGTGGGACAGAAAGAGATACAGGCGAATGAAAACTACTAAACATATTCGCGTGTACAGAACTACATGTCTACAATTTCCTTAGTTTTCAGTTGTTTTTTTAATGGAAAAGGGCACAGTGACATTCACAGTCTAGTAGATAAGGGCATGTTCCCTATGGAATTGGAACAATACTTTATCAATCTGGCATGTAGTCAACCCAAGCCAAAGGACGCAGTCATCGATTGCCCTACTCTCAAGGAAAGCGGCACGTGCAAGGGACATAATCCGTGGTGTACTTAAAATGCATATAGCTATCATACTACTAACCGTTAAGCCTGCTCATACTGTGCTTCTAACTGCCATAAAAGCGTATGCGTGTGCTCCAGCGATACACAATAAGGAGGCGTAGTGGAAGCACTGCTCACCTTGACACGCGCGTGTAAATGCCTGGGTATCCCGGCCGACCGCAGCCGATGCCCCAGGAGACCACGCCCACCTGAAGCCAGCGACCATCGGCTCTCCTGAGCATAAGTGGGCCGCCGCTGTCTCCCTATACGTATAAGCGCGAACGTGTGATCAGGAGCGCTGCTACAAACCTCTGTCACGAAAACTCCCTGAATGACATCATATACGAAGCCACCAACTCGAAGGCATCACACGAAGCAAGATGTCGTAGCGGTTCTTAACCAAAAGCCGAAAACAGAAAGAAAGGGCTATTTTTCGTACCTGGACAAATGCGATTCAGAAACAACATAGCGGCTTTTAGTCTTATTTCTTTACGGAGTTAGAAGTCGATCTAACGAAACTATATTTCATAAAATGCATGGTCTATATAAAGAATATTTTGATTCCCCAGCAGATAACCCTATATAGGGCTCGAAGTTTTCATCGGCTCGAATTAACGAACTGCTTTGTTTCAGAAATACCCAAGTAAAAAAAGATCGGTTATCGTTCTTTCCGGTCACGGGATAGAATCCCGGCTGCGGCGGCTGCATTTCCGATGGAGGCAGAAATGTTGTAGGCCCGTGTACTCAGATTTGGGCGCACGTTAAAAAAACCCACGTGGTCGAAATCTCCGGAGCCCTCCACTACGGCGTCTCTCATAATCATGTGGTAGTTTTCGGACGTTAAACCCCACATATCAATCAATCTTTCTTTTTTCGTTTTTGCAGACACATGCTTTTTTTTTCAAGCGATTGCTGTATAGCGCTCTCAGATTAAAACGCTTCGGCGCCCTACTGACGCCCTATTTTCCCGGCGCCCTATTTTCCATGCAGTTTAAGAAAGCTGCACATTGCACCCATGCATGAAAAAAATTCACTAAGCAGTCGGTATAGCTATTACGCATTGGATGGCGCAATGGGTAGCAGTGGCTAGTTTTGCCTGCAACTTTCTGGCTCGGCCTGCTTGCACATTTCTTACGTTTCAGCGCAAGGAAGCACGAAGACGATGACACGTCGCTTGCACAATCACTTCATTATTTCTCAGCGTGTTCGCATATTATTCACCTGTAATTGCTTCGCGTAACCATCTTTCTGGCCTATATCGCCTTTACATGGCGACATGGTAGGCTCTATGTCAGGGCCATCCTCGCGAACTTTTCACATGTGAAGGAGTAGATTAATGGCAAGAATTATGGCCTATGGTATCTTTTGGTTGTCACAACGTTACAATTTCAGGTTTCGAGGAGCCGAAAAATATCTTTCTCAATTTTATGAACTTCTCTATTTGACGAAATAACTCAAGCACCCAAATCACTTTGTTAGATCGCGTTTAAACTGTAAAAGAGAAAAACTGGCCTAGAATTTGCTCAGCAAGAAGCCACGCCCTTCAAAAAAACACCGCTTTGTTCGTTTCTTTTTACATAAATAATCAAGAAGCACCACAGGATATTTTTGTGCTTCTCATGTTTTCTAACTTTGTTGCAGAAGAGATAATAAACACTCATTCTGTGCATGAGCAGAAAGATATCATTTTAACGTCTTCTTTCGGTAATCTACACATGTAAAGGGATCTGAATAACATTTGCTCCAGCTGATCGTTCGCTAACGTTGCAGGGAAGATACAAAGTGGACGTACCTGGCACGTGTCTTCCTTGTTTCCACCTGCGCACAGGTTGGTGTCGAGAATGTCTTCGCCTAGCCGCTCCTTGCACAGCCCCAGGCTCATGAGCGGGATCTTGGCCAGCTTGAGCACGTCGCTGGTCTGGCTCACTGCGTGAGCAGTCATCGCACAATTGGCAGAGAAAAAAGAAGAAAGAACTTAACCTCAAGTGCACACACGTCGCCACGCTCTCTATGAAGCTGTTAATGGACATAACGCGCCCTCAAACTGTCACGTCGTGCTGTACAGGCATTGCATACAACAGGATGACTCTGAGGTAGTTTGAAAAGGTGAGACGTTACTGTTTGAATTAAATGCGACCTACAGTTGCGCGGCTGGGTGTGTTAGCACGTGACACAAATACACTGAAAAAGATAGCGAGAAAGTTCGAAAATTCTCGTATGACACCTGTGCCACATATCCGATAATCTCGTGTGAATCATATGTGTTCTCGTATATGCAGGGTATTTCAGTTAAAAAGCACCAATTAATAAAAAAAGAAGAATCACGAGTGCTACACATCTCCAATTAGTGCAGTATTGTTCTGAACCATACAGAACACGCCTGAATATCTTTTTTCGACCAGCCAAGCTTGGCAATTAACAAAAATTGCTTAATGAACTATTAGAATAGGGAAGGTACTCTAGAGAAAAATCTCCAATACAAAACTTGTAGCGCTTAATCATATTGTCACGGGACCCCGCAGCGGTGGTCTATAGTGGCTAAGGTACTCGGCCGCTGACCCGCAGGTCACAGGATCAAATCCCGGTTGCGGTGGCTTCATTTCCAATGGAGGCGGAAATGCTGTAGCCCCGTGTGCTCAGATTTGGGCGCACGTTAAAGGACCCCAGGGGGTCGAAATTTTTAAAGTCCTCCACTACGGCATCTATCAATCATGTGGTGGTTTTCGGACGTTAAACCTCACATATCAATCAATATTGCCACGAGGCCGTGACGTGGCCGAAGGCAGGAGACTGGATGGTCGGTTAATAAATTGCTTATTGAGCCAAACTTGTGGCCACGTGAAAGGAAAGTCAGCTTACACCAAGAACTGGGACTAATAGCGGCGAGCAAAGCGTCAGCCGTCGATCAACTGACAAGCGACGAAGCGCGTCGGCATTTATACACTTGCCATGGAATGTTCTAGCATTATCGCTAGCGGCGCCGTACGTTCCAAAATAATATGTAATGTTCACGACGTGGGAGTAATCTTAACAAAACGATCTACTGCAGCCTCGAATCTTTTCGAACATCGTAGGCGCGGTTTGCGCTGAACGTAGTGTAACGGAGTGATAACAAAACTTGAAGAAAGGAGCGTGGCAATATATAATGAAATTTTTCAAGATAACTGTGCTGCTTTATTCTTTTTTTTTGTTGCCTTTGTTTTTTTTTTGCTGCCTTTTTTGAATCATGCGCGAACATGATTCAAAAAGTACCACGTGATTGCCACCTAAAGCACGGCGTTTTTAGTGCCCTCACATGTAAGCTCAAGAAATGATCAAAAATTAATCAGACACGAAGGTCGCTTGAACAGGCTATCAGCGAATACGGTGGATGTTATGGATGGTAGGATAGTACAAATAAAAAAATGAAGAAAAAAGCGGCCTCCGCGTGCAAATGTGATACGAGTCCGCCGGCAGCATTCGACGCAGCACCGGCATTTTTTTTTTCGGGCTAACGATAAACACGTCACCCTCTCCACCTCCTTCGTAATTATCGTTAGCCCGAAAATAAAAAGAAAAAGATGCCGGTGCTGCGTCGAATGCTGCCTGCAGACTTGTATCACATTCGCACGTAGTGGCCACTTTTTTTTTCATTTTTTTATTTGTACTATCCTACCATCTATCGTATTCACTGATAGCCTGTTCAAGCGACCTTCGTGCCTGAGCAGTTTGTGATCATTTCTTGGGCTTACATGTGAGGGCACTAAAAACGCCGTGCGTTAGACGGCAATCACTCGCGCACTTTAAACAAAGGCTGCAAAAGAAAGCAGCACGGGTATCTCACCGCAGGCTGAACATTTTATTATATCTGATTAAGCGCTACAACTTTTGTATTGGAGACTTTTCTCTAGAGTCACAATTTAAAAACTTCATTAAGCAATTTGTGTTTATTGCCAAGCTTGGCGGGTCGAAAAAAGTATTCTGACGTGCTCTATCTATAGCTCAGAGCAATTATGCACTAATTGAAGACGTGAAGCGCTCGTGATTCTTTTTTTATTACCTACTTAGTGCTTTTTAGCTGCAACACCCTCTTCTTAAAAAGCAGAAAGTTCAACAATGCCGACTGTGTTCGGCACTTTACCCTGATCTAAATAGGACTGATGGATGTACGCACGCAAAGAGGATGGATGTATGTACGCACGCTTAGAAACAGAGAGGGGGGGGGGGGACCTCCGTGCGCGAAAGCACAAATTCTATCGGTTAATAAGTGCGGCATACATACCCTCGGCGACGCGTCCCCATCCGATGACGGTGAACAGCTCGCGATCCTTGAGCGGCGTGTCATCGGTCTCGAGGCACAGGGGCGAGACGAAGTCGTGGAAAACTACGGGCTCGGCCAGCACGAGCAGGGCGATGTCGTGCACGTACGCGACGCCCTTGTAGTTCGGGTGAATCACGCACGCGGCGACGGCCACCGGCAGCGGCGTCGACGATATCCGGTGGCCGCCCAGCACGACTCGGAGCTTCTGCTCCCGGCGCCTGCATCGTCCCGCGCGACACCGAAGGACACTTGTTTTTTAAGCATGAAATGATTTCAGCTCTTTCTGTAGGAGGCCTTCGAGTGACCTTGAGCCGAATGACAGCGCCGTTGTCCGGACACTTCAAACAAGATCATCCTGCAGTCAACCCGGAAGTTTTAAAAAGTGCAGTTCTTTTTTTTTCCTTATTTTTCATCTACAACCTTGATTCGAACTAGCAGAGACCGTGCCCAAGGTTTGGCGTATGTCCAAAAAATGACAGCGTATCCACGGGGTGAATGATGGAGAGTGGGGCAAAGCTGGGTCCACACGACGCTGCCGCGCCGTTTCGGCATCCCGTTCTCGTACGCGGGATTCTTGTCGGCACCGCCGCGCAGCTTCACGGCACGCTTCTGCCTCGCGCGCTCGCACATCGGGGTTCCGTCTTCGAGCGCGAGCCGCCGCCGCCTTGCGCGCACGCCGCTATGCAGCCTTGTCTATCCGCCGACCTTCTCTACGCGCGCGCGCTCCAAAAAGGCTTTTATTTGACTACACCGCGCCCCCTAGCGTACGGCACCGCCGACGAACATGCGATCGCCAACGTGTTCGTGAGACGTCATTCCTATTTTCCCGCGCGTTCGCACATCGAGGTTCCGTCTTCGAGCGCTAGCCGCCGCCGCCTTGCGCTTATCATACGTTTTATCGACAAACCGTGAATCATCCGCTGGCCGCGTCCGTCCGTCGTATGTCTGTTTGATGCACAGATGGACGAACGCAAACACTCACGCATGAACAGTGGACGTATGAACGGATTCACGAATGGACGGACTGACGGACGGACGCGGGGACGGATGCACGAGTGGACGAACGGACGCATGGACGGAAGCAAGAACGGACGGACGGCCGGAGGTATGGAAGGAATGACGGACGCTTCGCCCCACTCATCATCATTCATTCCATGGATATGATTTTTATTATTTATCATACTACAAGTAACGTCCTCTAGTATCGTACCATTTGCCTTTTCCAGGGTATATGTGTTTCGTTATATGTACAAGTACCGCCCTCTACGGCTGGTTCAAGAACTTCCGAGAGGTAGCTACATAGGATAGAGGTGGCTACATACGACGGGACGCTCAGCCCACTCCTTAAGGAGCTTCGCTCCTAAAAATGAGCTCGTTTACGTGTAACAGCCTCGTCCTTTGGATCGGCCGGCTGACAATAAATATACACTGTTGTATGTAGAACTCAGTGTCTGACAAATTTTCGCACCTCTCGGTCGCACTCTTCGAATACGTAATCTGTATACGTTTATAAAGAAGAAAAATAATTGCCTCGTAGTAGCCGATAGTCCCATAACAGTTCAGTGCGTTGAATATTGTATGTGGGCAGCCTGGATGATAGGTGTACAGAGCACTGCGTTGCTCTAAAACAATAACATAACTGTAGAGCACAAACTTGATGCCACGAGGAAAAAGGACGTGTCACTGATATGCAGAAGTGTACAATGGAAAAGTGTGTATGTGCTATGCGCGTTTTCATTTATTGCCGTTACCACACGTTTTCAGAAGCAGTAGCCAGAGTCGCTTGATAACAACCGGCACTAAATATGACCATCACAATACTCCTAATACTAAAAAAAATAGCAGCTGTCACGCTACAGTGCCCTCGAGCATTTTTTTCTCTCTCTCTCTTTTTTTTTCACTATGTCCTGGCTTCCTTCGCCCTGTGTTTTTAAAAAAGATACGCACTTTCGTTTTGTAAAGCGTGCTTCTCTGCGCAATGGACTCATTATGTGGAGAAGTCACTTAAACATATGCAGCATATAGCTTTATACGGCTCCGCTGTTTGTAAAAGCGGAGCAGTATAAAGCGGCGCTAAATCTCTGGGTAATGTATTCCATCACCTATATGACATGTATGAGAAAGATTTCGTGTTATGACCAGTCATGTATACTTTCATCGCAACATGTCAATTTTGGTGTACATGAAGTTCACCAAACAGCCGTTGCAGCCCCCCGACTATGTCACGTATGTCATGGCGTGCATTAAAGACATGCCATGATTTTCATGTAATTAGCAGTCATTTATGTTTTGAACCCGCTCTTGTCATGCCGTGTCAATTTCGTTATACTCGTCAACTTAGTGGCCGCGAAAGCACCAGCACCTATACGCAGCCAGTGAGATAAACAGGCCGATAGATACGCTCTAAATACCTTTGTTTCTTCATGAAATGCTTTGTGCCTAAGATATTTGTTACCAACATTATAAATGCTGATTTTGAGCGGTCGCGATCCTACTTTGACGTTTCCTGTCAACTGGCGAGTCGCGCCCCTCTTTTGTGAACTGATCGGCTGATATTGATACGTAGGGTTTAACGTCCCAAAAGCAACATATGATTATGAGAGACGCCGTAGTGGAGGGCTCCGGAAATTTCCACGACCTGGGGTATTTTAACATGCACCCAAATCTGAGCACACGGGCCTACAACATTTCCGCCTCCATCGGAAATGCAGCCGCCGCAGCCGGGATTCGATCCCGTGACTTGCGGATCAGCAGCAAAGTGCCACTAGACCACCGCGGTGGGGCCGAACTGATCGGCTACTCCGATTTGATTGTCACATTGAGCTTATACGTTTGCGGGCGGTTAGGGTGCACGGAGAGTGCCTCGTAGTAAACATATTTCTTACTCTGAACAACAGTGCGCAGCCGTGAGCACGTGTCGGTTGCCGATCAGCGATCCTCCTCCCACCAGTTTTTCTTCCTCGTCCACCAGCGCCACCTGTGCTCCAGTAGAAAACGAATAGAGATAACAACGAGCACACGCACACCAGATAAATTACACCAGTATATATATATATATATATATATATATATATATATATATATATATATATATATATATATATATATATATATATATATATATATATATATATATATACATTGTGTGTGTGTGTGTGTGTGTGTGTGTGTGTTTTAATTTATATACATTCTAAGAAAACGATGTCATTCCACGTACTATCAACACCAAAACTTTGCAGGACGCGAAATGCTCGATAAGGCTAAATTCCTGCTTTGTCTGGGAATGTAATTTCGAAACAAATGTTCCGTACTACACTCGGCATTCCGACCTATACGGTCACCGGCTTTATTACAAGCATTAAGCACTGATATAGCAGAAATTCTAATTCGTTGGGGATCTAACGTCCCGCAAACTTTTGCTGTTGATAGTGTATGATTAAGAAAGTGGCACATCAACTCTCTTTGGGGATCGTTAGACTCTCTTCTGACAGTATTGTGATGCAAAGTATTAATGCGACTCTTTTGGTGGAGTCGCATACGAAACGAGTCGGGCGAGCACCCTTAAAGACTCACGCGTTTTTTTGGATTTTTTTTTTCTTATAGTGTAGAAGCGCAAATTTTAGCCTGTTCATTGTCCGTGTGAGCATGGGCGTCCGCAGCGTGCTCCGTTAGACGGAAGGGCAAAGTTTGGCTGCAGCGCCCCCACTTCCTTGCTCTTCATAAGTCTTCACTGAGGACCTTGCGATCAAAACATAATGCCATGGCAACGCAGGGAGGAGGGGTGGTGTACGGGTACCATTCACAGGTACTATGGGCCTACGCTGTTTTCGTGGCCCTTTATTACTCACCATCCAAGGAAACCGATGAGGGGGCCTGGCCTCTTCTCCGCCAAGTATTCTCGATTCCACGACGTTTTCCACGCCGCAGCCTCAATGAGAGAGGAGACAATACATGACCTCTTACGACGTTTACTTACTCCTTTGATTTCGCTGAGATATCGACGACGATAACCATTCAATGTAGAAATTGAATTAAGAATATTGAATGCACCAAATATTAATGCATCAATGTCAAACCTTTATTGTGTAAAATATTTGCAACAGGCGGCGCAATGATATTAAGGCGAAAGCCCATAGCTGCCTCATCGAGCACGAAAATTGACCCACGGCGTCGACCCATGGCATCGGCGTCAACACGAGTAATAATTTAAAAAAAAAAACGTCACGTACTTGCCGTCTCCGCATGACATCACAGATAGTCAATATATGTGACTTCGATCGCATCACATGATGACGGCATCGCATGACATCGTTGCTTTGTGAAACGTACACCAATCACAGAGTCAGCGCACAACCATGAAAGGTACAGAAAGCCCGTAATTAGCGCTGTTTGGTTGCGAATTCGAATTATATAAAGCCGGGAGGAACGCGAATCGAATCGAATAATTTTCGAATAAATTACGATCAAAAACGAGTTGCAAAGGGCATCTCTAGCATGTTTTGAATTATATTCTAAAAATCAGCTCTTAAATGGCGCAGCCAGGCAGCGCCATTTTGGCTCGTCGGAAATAGCCATGGAAAGAGCATTTTTTATGTGATTCCTAAATGAAAAGAAGATAAAAGTGAGCCCCGTAACTGTCTCTTAGGGGGCGGACACCTCAACAGTAGCTCACGTGGGATGGAGGTAAGGAGTGATTAAAAGAATAAGATTAAAAGGTATAGAGGGAGAGGAAGGAGAGAGCGTGGCGCATGGACAGCGACATCCAGAAGTAAGGAGAAGATAGGAAAGATGGACACGGTCGCAGAAGTCCGAGGACGGGGCACCACTCAGCGAGAGCTCTTGTCGGCGTCAGGAGAGGCGTAGGGCGAGCCAGTCGGCCAGAGTTGCGCTGTCGTCGCACATCACGTACGTGGGCACAACCGGTCGGCACGGAATCCTGTTTGCCACTTGAGCTAGATCCTCCACTCAGAAACACGCGCGTACAGAAAAGGTTCAAAGTTTATTTAGAGGTCTTCCATTGGCAGCGTTCGCCATAATGATGTTACGGGGAATAAAGTATACACTGGCGAGCAAATGCGTACTGGCGAATGTACCGGCGAGCTAAAGCGTACAACACTGCTGCAGTCCGAGCACGGTCACGTTCAGCACTTCATCGTCGTCATCCTCAGGCATCTACTTATCCCGTGACATTACCCGCCGGCGGCAGAAGCACCGTCCCGGTGCGATCAATTCTCGAGGCGTGAGTAGTATGGTTTAAGCCGTGAGACGTGCACTATATCGGTCGGGACTGAAGCTGGTACTGACGTGGTATGGAGTGGAGCTATCTCATAGGTCACGCTGGTGACCTTGCGTATGACGCGGTAGGGGCCAACGCAACGGGACATCAGTTTTTCGCAGAGACCAACACGACGTGATGGTAACCACAGCAAGACGAGTGACCCTGGAGAGTACTGTACGTCGCGGTGCCGGCGATCGTAAGCACTCTTTTGGTTAACCTGCGAGGCACATAAACGATCTCGGGCGACTTGGCGGGCGATGTCAGCTCGGGCCAGGGCATCACGAGCATAAGCAGTCGATGAGGAGGCGTCAGATTGGAGCATGGTGTCCATGGGCAAAGGCGGGTCATAACCAAACAGTAGATAAAAAGGTGAAAATCCAGCTGTATCATGACGTGAACTGTTGTATGCGAAGGTAACGAAAGGTAAGTGGATGTCCCAATCTTTGTGATCCTTGGAGACGTACATCGCTAACATATTCGTCAGGGTACGGTTGAGGCGTTCCGTGAGGCCGTTGGTTTGCGGATGGTACGCTGTAGTGAACTTGTGGTGGGTAGAGCAGGATCGCAGGAGCTCGTCGACTACTTTAGATAGAAAACAGCTGCCGCGGTCGGTGATCAACTGACGAGGAGCACCATGACGCAGAATGATGTCATGAAGAAGGAAATCGGCTACATCAGTAGCGCAGCTGGTGGGGAGGGCGCGTGTAACGGCATACCGCGTTGCGTAGTCGGTAGCAATAGCAATCCACTTATTACCGGTTGCCGACACGGGAAAAGGTCCTAGAAGATCGAGGCCGACTCAGAAAAATGGCTCATCTGGTACTTCAATGGGCTGGAGGGTACCAGCAGGTCTCAGAGTAGGTGTCTTGCGGCGCTGGTAGAGGTCGCATGCCGCAACGTACTGTCGCACAGAACGGTAGAGGCCAGGCCAAAAGAATCGGCGGCGAATGCGGTCATACGTGCGTGACACCCCTAGGTGTCCAGCGGAGGGCGCATCATGCAGCTGGGCCAAAACGTCTGAGCGAAGATGCACAGGAACAACGAGTAAAAGCTCAGCACCACCAGGGCGGGCGTTGTAGCGGTGCAAGATGTCGTTGTGAAGAACGAACAGTTGTAAGGAGTGGTCAGGGTGGGGAGAGTGCAGACCATTGATAATAACACGCAAAGAGGGGTCGCGGCGTTGTTCAGCAGCTATGTCGGTGAAGTCGGTAATTGAAAGAACGAGGGCCTCTTGTTCATCTTCCCTCGCGTCAGGGGGGATCGACTGGGTAACGGGACAAGCAGTCGGCATCCTTGTGAAGTTGTCCGGATTTATAGGATACGGAAAAAGTGTACTCTTGTAAGCGCAGCGCCCAGCGACCAAGGCGTCCCGTAGGGTCCTTGAGTGAGGAGAGCCAGCAAAGCGCATGGTGGTCCGTAATAACTGAGAATGGTCGGCCATACAGGTACGGTCGGAATTTCGCAATGGCCCAGACGAGAGCTAAGCACTCGCGTTCTGTGATGGAATAATTTTGTTCCGAGCGCGACAACAGTCGGCTTGCATACGCGACGACGCGGTGCATGCCTTGTTGCCGCTGCGCCAGCACTGCGCCCATGCCGTGGCCACTGGCGTCAGTACGAAGCTCCGTGGCGGCAGGTGGGTCGAAGTGTGCTAGGACTGGTGGATTGGTGAAGATGTCAACGAGTGACGAGAAGGCGTTTGCTTGCTGTTGGCCCCAGGTGAATGCGACATCCGTTTTGAGGAGGCAGGTTAGAGGACGGACTACTTCAGCAAACTTCTCGACAAAACGGCGGAAATAGGAGCACAGTCCCCGAAAACTTCGGACGTCCTTGGCTGAGCGGGGTGTGGGGAAGTCGCGAACTGCTCGGACTTTCGCAGGGTCTGGTTGAACGCCCGCAGCGTTAACAAGATGGCCGAGTACGCAGATTTGGCGTTGCCCAAAGCGGCATTTGGACGAGTTAAGTTGCAAGTTGGCACGTCGAAAAACATCAAGCACTGTGGACAGACGGGTAAGATGGTCGTCGAAAGTAGTCGAAAAAACAATAACGTCGTCAAGATAGCGGAGGCAGATGGTCCACTTCATGCCTCGAAGGAGAGAAACCATCATGCGCTCAAATGTCACAGGGGCATTGCATAATCCAAAAGGCATCATCTTGAACTGATAAAGTCCACCAGGAGTCACGAAGGCCGTCGTCTCTCTGTCTTTGTCGTCCACAGCGGTCTGCCAGTAGCCTGAGCGAAGGTCTATTGAAGAGAAATATTTGGCACCGTGCAAGCAATCGAGTGCATCATCTATGCGCGGTAGGGGATAGACATATTTCTTGGTAATATGGTTGAGATGGCGGTAATCAACACAGAATATCCAGCTATTGTCCTTCTTTTTAACAAGTACAACGGGTGAGGACCAGGGACTAGATGAGGGTTCGATTATGCCATTATCAAGCATTTTATCTACTTCTCGTTGTATAATAGCACGCTCCGGGGCTGACACACGGTAGGGTCGTCGGCGAATGGGTCGAGCGTCACCGGTGTCGATGCCATGGGTTACCACGGATGTCTGGCCCAAATTACGGTCACCGAAGTCAAAGATGTCCTGATAAGAAGCAAGCACACGGCAGAAAGCAGAGACTTGTTCAGAGGTGAGCTTGTCAGATAGCATTGGCTTGAAAAGGTCGGAACAGGAACGTGACGAGAGCGACGTTGATGAAAAATCAGGTGGCGAATCGGTGGTTAGGGCGTAAACTGTGTGGTCGACCAGTGGTATCAGATGCGCAAGTTACATGCCGCGAGAAATAACTTGCGCTGAAAAGCCGAAATTGAGGACGGGAAATGAAGTTCGGTTGTCCTTAACGGTAACCACCGTGTTGAGGAGTGCAACATTGCGTGTCATGGCCACGTCAGAAATTGGGGCAGCAACATAATCACCATCGGGTACTGGAGGATATGGCGAGAGTTGGACTTGGACTGCAGCTTGCGGCGGAAGCCTGAGGAAATCGACAGAGCGTAGACGATGTGGGCTGGTAGAGACGGTCTCTGAGAAGGATGGTAGTTCGAGCCGTAGAAGACCTTTGGAACAGTCAATGAGCACAGCGTGTGAAGTCAGAAAGTCGAGTCCAAGGATGAGGTTAAGAGGGCAATTTTCCAGTACAGCGAACAGAACTGAAGTTTGATGCTCAGAAATCGTTAATCGCGCAGTGCACATATATTCCAAGCACAGCAGGAGTACTCCCATCTGCTGTACGAACGGTAGGCGCAACCGCAGGCGTCGGAACTTTTTGGAGGCGGCGGCGGAGGTCTGAACTCATCACAGATATTGGTGCACGGGTATCAATAAGAGCAGTTACAGGTAAACCATCAACCGAAATTGTAAGAAGGTTGCACCGCTGGTCGGGAGTAATCAGAGGATTTGCAGTCCGAGTCGTGTATGCAGCGTCACCTGCGGGGGCTGCACCGGCTAGTTTTCCGAGCGACGGTTATAGGGAGACCGAGAACGGCGGGGTTGGGGCGAGCGGGACTGACGACGCACGGGCGATGGCGAGCGGCTGGTCCGACGTTCTGGATTATGCTCTGAACCTGTCTCAGCACGGTAGGACGGGGCATAAGGTGCACGTTCATAGCGAGGCCGCCAATCATAGAAGCTCGGTCGAGGTGATGAGGTCCAACGGCTGCGGCAATGGCGAGCGATGTGTCCTATCCGATGGCACGTGAAACATATGGGCCGATCATCATGAGTGCGCCATTCAGCTGGGTTTCGTCGTGGCGCGAACGTGCGGTTCGGAGTGGTAGCCGCAACGACTGGAGCCGAGCTGGAAGTAGCAGAGGCATTTTGATGAGGTGGCGAAATGCCCATATTCGCGATCTCTTGGCGAACCAGGGTCTGCATCATTGAAACAGCATCGAGGTTGTGTCCTGGCGCGCTGACGCTAGACATAGCGGGAGCCATAGCCTCGAGTTCCCGACGGACTATTCT